AGGACATAGTAACAATCTGTCGAAGAAGAAGAAGAAGAAGAAGAGGAGGAGGAGGAGGAGGAGGAGGAGGAGGAGGAGGAGATTGGATTTATATTCACTACCCAAAGGTGTCTCAGAGCGGCTTACAAACTCCTTTCCCTTCCCCTCCCCACAACAGACACCCTGTGAGGTAGGTGGGGCTGAGAGAGCTCTTGACAGAAACTGCTCTTTTTCAAGAACAGCTCTTATCAGAGCTACGGCTTTCCCAAGGTCATCCAGCCAGGTGCAAGTGGAGGAGTGGGGAATCAAACCCAGTTCTCCCAGATTAGAGTCCACACACTTAACCACTACACCAAACTGGTGGAATAAAATATGGAAAGTAAATATTAAGTTGACTAAATCTATTACAGTCAAAGAAAACGTATATAAAATGTTTTATAGATGGCATCTAACCCCAGATAGATTGGCTAAAATGTATAAAAATTTGAGTAATATATGTTGGAAATGTAACAACTATATTGGGTCATACTACCATATGTGGTGGACATGTAAAAAGGTTAATAAATCTTGAATATCACAATACCTTTTAAGCCAGAAATATTTTTGTTAAACCGTTTACCAGATGAGTTAGATAAGAATCATAGATATTTCATTTTACATGCTGTAACTGCTGCCAGAATCTTATTTGCTACGGCATGGAGGACACCAAAGATTCCAACACTATATGAGTTGATACTGAAGATTATGGAATGTGCTGAAATGGATAACTTTACAAACATATTAAAAGGAAAAATGGAAGAAGAATTTATGAGACCTTGGAGAGTGTTTTATGACTGGTTAAAACTCAAACAGAGAGAATATGTTTAAGTGAAAAATAAGAATGATTGATGAAATAGTTGTGAAATTGTAATTAGAAGATTTACATGCAAAATGTTAAATTGGAATTTTATATATTTCTATCCATTTTCTTTCCTCCCCTCTTTTCCCCTTTCCACATTTCTTTGTATAAACTAATAAAATTCTTTAAAAATGTTTTGCCCCAATACAAGCAAGTAACTATTAACAACTGAATTCTTTTGAGATCTTGTTAATCTTACTGGTTACAGCAGAGAACCATGTTAAGTACAACAGTAATTTATAAATTAACAACTTTTGTAGTCTACCTTCATGAGTGTTAAGGATCTAATAATTTGCCTACAATGCAAGAGTTACAATATAAATTGTTAGAAGTGGCAGAAATGGATATCTTAACAATGATCTTGCATGGTAAAGATAAGAATGTATTTGAAAACAGATGATCTAGAGTTTATGAATGGTTAAAAAGAAAAGAGGAAAAGTAGACTCAAATGTTATACATGTAAAAGCATTTGGCTGTATTTTTATGGAAAAAATTAAATAAACTGTTTTAAAAAAGAGTGTTAAGGATCACACAGACATTCATGCTGTTTTAACATTATTCAGATCTCATCAACTCAGCAAGCCCTACATACCTTGCTAAACCTTGGTGAACATGAGGAAAATTGCCTAATTTCTACATGATCATCATCATTTGTGTCTTCTTCTTCCTCAGAATCTACATGATGGTATCGCTCAGAGCGTGCTGCAAACAAGAACACAAATGTGAGTCCAAGTAACCACAGCACAGTTAGAAGTAGGTGTTCTCTGTGCCTAAATGAGATCAAGAACATTCCAAAAAAAATCACCAATCAAAACAGACAAAGCTACTAGATTTGATTCTTAATTAACAGCCATTTTTCTCCATCATCATCCAGTTTTTATTTATCTTACCCACAGGTCACCCAAAGAGATCTAAATAAAAAAAGTTTGGAACTTCTACAAACAAAAGATACAACACCCTTCTCCATGTTAGTCCACCATGATTATATAAAAAAGGCTTTCATAATAAAATAACATGGAAGAAGAAATTCAGTTTACCCTGACTACCACATTATCTTCTAAGTAACTATGATACCACTTTGCTGACACAAAAGAAAGAGATGCTGCCTTTGCAGTTAGCCCTCTGTCATTGTTGGTGAGTCTTCCTGTACAATATTTTCAAGATTTTTTTTGTTTAAATGTAAATAATATTGGCAACAATTGATATAATGTATTTCATGTGTATAATGTATTTAATGATGATATGTTATTAAAGAGTTCGGTATTATAAAGTTTAGCTCAATATCCAAACATGCCAGCAGTCCTACCTATTGTGACTCAGAATGAAAACTTCTGTCTAAATACAGTTCCTTTTGGTTAGTACAGAATTTTTCTTCTGCCTTCAATTTTTATGTTTTCTTCCCTCTCAGAGACAAAATATTAAAGATATATGTGCTATGGTATCACAGGGTGCAGCAGTTTTCAATTCTGTCTCAAGTATGGGGTACACATGCAATTTTTTTTAGTAGAAAACTACTTTTAAAATCTATAAATATGCCAAATAGTAAAAGTGTTTGTGTGTGCGTGTGTGTGTGTATTTGCAAACTAAATTTAAAAACGATGCAGTTTAGGTTTGATAGGGAAGTTTAGGTTTGATAGGGAACAAAGTTTATGGTGGTATGAGAGTTTGCTGTTTATGACTCTGGTTGCAAAAACAGTAAAGACAATAAATAAATAAACCTGCCCTCCTCCCCTGCACCTGTTGCCATAGGCACTGCCTTTACTCTCAAGTAGCCCCCAATAGCAGGAGCACCCACTACTGACCTGAACCAAAGTCCCCAAAAGTCAAGCACTCTCAGCTTGAACCACAGAGTCAGCCTGCAAGCACTCTGCAAAAAGGGATTTCATATTCAGGTGGCAACAAGACAACCCTCAGAGCAAACCTCCAGTCTTCTCCCCCACCCCAGAAGATGTATGCATATGAAACAATGGGTTCCACCAGGTAGGTATCTGCATTTCTAAAGGCTATTCAGTTACCACCTGGTGAATAGCCCTTCTATCTCCAGAACTTCACCTATCCCTTTTGCCTGACCTCATGTCTATGTGAGAATCCTTTGTCTCCAAACGTGTCTTTCCTGCTCTGTCGCTCAGGATACTGAGATAAACCAATCATACATTCAAATGTTTAGTGATCTAATCAGAGACCCATCTCCCACCTTTTGTCTATACTTGCGAATCTTTTCAAACTGCCTTGACTGGACCATTAGTGGTCAGAAAACCCATTCAACTAGCCACCCAACATCTGGCTGATTTAATCTAGTCCATTGTTAAGCCTGACTCTACCCCTCTGGAACATCATTGGTTGCATCCAGGTCTGGCTCCTCCTGATGCTGCACCCCCTGGGACCCAGGATTGGCCCAGGTAATCTTTTGTCCTCACCTGAGACAAGCCCCTCAAGACCTCCCATTGGTCAGCATTGTTTTCCAAAGTCTATATCTGTCCACGCACACACACCCCACTCTCTCTTCTTCTCTGCCCCCTCATAGTGCACAATGCTGGCCGTTGGTGCTATTCTCTTCAAGGACTTCTGCACGTTTGGACAAGTAATATTACCCAGTAACTGACCCCTCTATTCGCTATCAATCACCTCTGCTTTCTTAGTTCTCTATTGTGTGTGTGTGAATGCTTGATTTTATGTTTGTATGTTTAAGAATCCTTTAGTAAAAGAGCTGGGGGAGGCCAATACAGATGGAATTTTGTTGCCTCAACCGTATGCCTGGTGGAATAATTCTGTTTTACAGGCCCTGAGGAACTGAATCAGGATTGTTTTACTGGCCCGGGTTGAGGCAAGACAAATACTTCTGGGGCTGGGGACCAACAGAAGATTGTTATTCACAAAGTGCTATGCTCTCTGGGAGGCGTACCACGAGCGACGGTCCTGAAGATATGTTGGTCCCAGATTGTGTGGGGCTTTGAAGGTTAGAACCAGAACCTTGAATCTGATCCAGTATTCAACTTGGAGCCAGTGCAGCTGGTGGCGCACCTGTTGTATGTGGGCTCTAAGTCGAGTGCTTGTAAGCACACACACAGCCACATTCTGGACCAGTTGCAATTTTTGGGTCAGTCTCAAGGGCAGCTCTGTAGACTACTACAGTCCAGAATCACTCCTAAGCTCTTGACAAGTGGCCTTTGTGTTTGTAGCTCACCATCAAGGGCTGGAAGTAGGCACCCGAACCTGGGATCTTTCTGACTCAGCCATAGGACATCCATCTTTGAAGGACTTAGTTTCAACCTGCTCTGCTTCAACCAACCAACCAACCAACCACAGCCTTTAGACCCCTGGCCAGATTGTCTGGGGCGGCATTTGGATGGCTGTTCATCAACAGATATTGCTGGGTGTCATCAGCATACTGGTGACATCATGGCCCAAAGCTCCATGTCAGCTGGGCGAGGGTATATATAGATGTTAAACAACATTGGGGAGAGGACTGCTCCCTGGGGGACACCACACACCAGAGGGTGCCGCGCTGAGTCCTTCTCCACAAGTGCCAGCCTCTGTCCCCAACCATGGAGAGATGAGACAAACCATTTTAGGGTTGTCCCACAAATTCCCACTTCGGCAAGGCAGTAGGTCATTAGATCATAGTCTACCATGTCAAATGCTGCTGTGAGGGCCAGCAAAAACAGCAGTGCTGACCCTCCTCTACCCAGGTGTCTATGGAGGTCATCTGTGAGGGCGACCAAAATTGTCTCTGTCCCACAGCCAGTGTGAAAACCGGATTGGAAGAGATCAAGAACCGAGGTGTCATCCAAGAATGTCTGGAGCTGTTCAGAAGCCGCTTTCTCAACTACAGAGTGCAAAGGTACAATGCACATTGTGATCAGTTTGATTAGAACAGAGAAGAAATGCTTAGCGGCAAAATTTTCTGCTCCCAAGTATTTCTTCTCTACTCTAATCAAGCCAATACAATGTGCATTGTACCTTTGCACCCTGTGCCCTTCTATGTATCCTGTGTCCTCCCATCTTCTGACTGGGATGTAAGAACTCAGGGATCTCCATTTTGACTTGGATCTGACGAAGGGAGCTTTGACTCTCAAAAGCTTACACCCTAAAACTCTTGTTGGTCTCTAAGGTGCTACTGAAGTCACATCTAGCTTTTCTACTGCAGACCAACATGGCTGCCCTCTAAAATGATCTTCATGGAAGTGAGCTACTAAGATTCATGTCTTTAGGTGTAACATAATAATATTTTAAGATTATCTACAATTAATCATGAGAGTTGTTCCTTACTGTCAAAGTAGCTTGTGTCATCTTCTGATTCTAACTGTGGAATAAATTCTGCTTTTTGCCTGAGTAATCCATTCCAGTCTAAGTTCATAAAGAACCTGTGTTGTTTCACCTCAAAAGCACTACCTGAAAAAACAACATAATGAAGAATTTAAAATATGCTGTAGCCAGTGTTCCCTCTAAGCTGAGTTAATGTGAGCTAGCTCACATTTTTTTTAGCCTCCGGCTCATACATTTTTGTCTTAGCTCAGGAAGGGATGGCTACAGAGCAAACTAATTTATGCAGTAGCCAAACTGCTTGCTCACAATTTTAATGCCAGTAGCTCACAAAGTAGAATTTCTGCTCAGAAGACTTAACAGCTTAGAGGGAACATTGGCTGTAGCAAATATAGCCCAACAACTGTGTTTACGTGGATTTGAACTAAAGTCACTAAGCTTTGTTACTGCACACAGAATAAATTAGGATGAAGGAAATTAAACATTCATATTACCCTGAGCTTTAAGGATAACTATAAATCTAATAAAATAAAATTACTGAAAAATAAAAGGGAGAAAACTTCCTTGTCATGCAGTTTCTGACATATCAAATTTGAGGCCTTTTCTAGTATAAGTAATTAAAACTGAATTTTTTTACATGCTCACTGCACAAAACAGGATCTTGCCAAGCACCTACAAAGTCCACAACTCAAATATCCAAGCAAACCAATATTTTAGACTGCAAAAGGCTTTCACTGACATGTCAACTGAAGGGCAGGGACCTGGAAGAGATTGTCAGAGGGATGCTGCTTTATTTGGCAAAGAATCTACATGTCAACGATGTTTTAAATTCAGTCTACACTAGGACATGCAGTGCTTTGATAAATGTAGCAAATTAAGGAATGGCTTATACAAAAGCCTTCCTACTTCCCATATGTAGACTTCTTTCTACTACAAAGCCCTTTCTACTAAAGAGCACTTTATGGTGTTTATCACCATCATACCAAAGACAGAATGAAGAAATACAGCAAGAAGGTTCACACACATTGCTCCCCAAGATGAGCTGCTTTTTTTCTTTACAACTTTTCATTATGCTTTAACTTTTCTAGCAAGTATTTTTCTAGGAATCTATTTGTACCTGTTCCCAGTCTTTCCAGAGGGTTTTGGTGCAGAAGTTTACCAATCAGGTCTTGTGCATCTGGTGGTAAAGCTTCATCTCCTTCTGGCCAGGCAATTTCATCTATAGAAATGATACTGGTGAGGTTAGGAAAATATATGTTGCATGGTATTAAAGAACTCTCATGTTAAGGCTTTCATTAACTGTACTAGGACAATAAATATACAAAAGTATTATCATAGTATTGTTGAGTGAACATGAACTGGAAGGACTATGGGTTGAAACCAGAGATATTATTAAGGAAGAATGTGCAAAGACTTTTCTTGTGTCCAAAAGAAATGCAAAGTGTCAATGGATGACTGATGACATCACAAAACAGCTAAAGATAGATGAGAAGCAAAAGTAAAAGGTGACAGAAATAGAATCAGAAGTCTAAATGCAGCATTCCACCTACTGGCACGTAGAGACAAAGAGAATTATTATAATAACCAGTGTAAAGAAACAGAACAGAACAACAACAAAATTAGAATGAGAGATTTGTCCCAAAAGATCCAAAAAATCAAGTGGAAATTTAAAGTACACAGTTAGGCATGCTGAAATACCAACATGGAAAGACATTAACTGAACAGAACAAAACAAGCAAAAGAAGGGAACAATAAACCGAAGATCTATTCAGAAGAGATGAAAGGATATTAAAAGAATCTTTTGAAGAACCTGCAATTTTAGAAAGCAAAGTGAAAGCAATTGGGAAAAACATATCACCAGAAGTGCAAGGGATATCAATAGAACTTTTCCGAGCCGCAGAAAGCGTCCATCAAAATCTTAACAAGATTATGCCAGTAAATATGTAAAACAAAACAATGGCCCATAGACTGAAATGTTCAATTTATTTTCCAGTTCTGAAAAAGGACACATTAAAGACTACAGGAACTATTAGACCATTGCCTTAATTTCTCACATAAGTAAAATGATACTCAAAATCTTACAACAAAGACTGTCACCGTATATGGAGTGAGAAATGCCTGATGTTCAAGCTGGATTCAAAAAAGGAAGAGGCACTAGAGAACATATTGCAAATTTTACTTTAGTTACTGAAATATACAAGAGAATTTCAGTAGAAAAACAACTTGTTTTTCATAGATTACAGCAAAGCTTTTGACTGTGTGGACCATGAAAAGCTATGTCTGGTTTTAAAAGAAACAAATGTGCCACAACATCTGATAGATTTGATGCACACCTATACTCTGGACAAGAGGCCACTATTAGGACAGAATATAGAGAAAGAATGGTTTCTAATTGGCAAGGGTATTAGAAATGGATGTTTTTATCCCCTGTCTCTTCAATCCATATGTAGAACATATTGTAAAGAAAACTGGATTAGATTTCAATGACAGTGAGGTGAAAAATGGTGCAGGGAACATTAACAATTTGAGATATGCAGATGACACCACATTACTGGCAGAAAATAGTGAAGACCTGAAACAACTACTGATGAAGTATCAATGTGGCCAAGTGCAAGGTGATGGCACACTGGAGCCAAAAATCCTAAATATAAATACACATTGATGGGATATGAACTGGCAGAGACTGATCAAGAGAGATCTTGGAGTCGTAGTAGATAACTCACTGAAAATGTTGAGACAGTGTGTGACTGCAGTAAAAAAGGCCAATGCTATGCTGGGGATTATTAGGAAGGGTATTGAAAACAGATCAGCCAATATCATAATGCCCCTATATAAATCAATGGTGCGACCTCATTTGGAATACTGTGTACAGTTCTGGTCACCACACCTTAAAAATGATATTACAGCTTTGGAAAAAGTGCAGAAAAGGGCAACTAGAATGATAAAAGGGTTGGAACACGTTCCCTATGAGGAAAGGTTAAAGCGCTTAGGGCTCTTTAGCGTGGAGAAACGACGACTGAGGGGTGACATGATTGAGGTTTATAAGATTATGCATGGGAAAGAGCAGGTAGAGAAAGAGGTACTTTTCTCCCTTTCTCACAATACAAGAACTCGTGGGCACTCCATGAAATTGTTGAGTGGTCAGGTTAGAACAGATAAAAGGAAGTACTTCTTCACCCAAAGAGTGATTAACACATGGAATTCACTGCCACAGAAAGCGGTGGCGGCTACAAGCATGGACGGCTTCAAAAGGGAATTAGATAAGCATATTTTTGGCCACTGTGTGATACGGAGTGTTGGACTGGATGGGCCTTTGGCCTGATCCAACATTGATGTCTCTTATGTTCTTATGAATGCTCCTGTAACTTGGGCTCATCAAAGGAAACTGACTGGCAGTAGATTCAATAGATACTAAAAACATTTCTTCACACAATATTCAGAATCTGAGAAAACAAGGTCTGACTATGTTCACTGGCTTCACAGATTCACAGAGGATAAATCACAACAGGTCATTGGACACAAGTTGCTGGTGGGGGGGGAGACATCAGAGGAAACCTGTTTTTTTCACTGACTACTTGAGGGTCTTCCAACAGCATCTGGATGAAGACAGTTAGATGGCTGGATCTATACTAAATTGCCAATTTAGGTCTGGATCCAGCCCACTAGATTTTCCCTTCCTGCTGCAGATCCCCATTAAGTCATTCCTCAGGGTCCCCCAGCAATAGTGTTTTGTGGAGATCAGTGGGCTGCAGTGGGAGAGGGGAGGTAGGAAAGTACATTTCTGCCATTGGAAAATTTAGTCTAGCTCCAGCCTTAATGCTAAACTAAACTGGCCTTTGGTCTGATCCTGCAGGGATTTTATATACTTATGATCTTTTTTTGTAATGAGAGGTATGTATTATTCTTGAAAGTATGCCTAGTTTGGAGGTCACTCTCATATCAGGTGTTGTGGATCAGCCAGGCACAAGTAACACTGAAGAGGAAGAGGACACTGTGGAAGAGGAACGAGCCCCAGCTATTCAGCCCCATGGCTCAGAACCAGATAGTGTCCCACCACCGCCTCCCTCGTCTCCAGAACCACTGGAGCGTAGACAGAGGAGGGTCCATCATGAGATGCTGAAAAGAAGGCAGAGTACGCGATCAGCAGCTCAGAGACACCTGGGTCTAGTTAGTAAGGAGGAAGTGAACCAGCTGCAAGACGAGCATCTTGGCCATAAAGGGCGAAGAGAGGGAGAGACAGGCATGGAAGCAACACGTCAAATTACTCCTGACCTCGCTGCCACGGACCCTGTCTCTAACTCATGACTTTGACTCTTTGGACTGTGTCTGGATCTTGACTTTTGGATTTTCTCCAAACCTGCTCCTGTTGCTGACTCTGTGTATGATTTAGGAACTGAACTCTGACTGCACCGTGCTGGATTGTGCCTTTGCCTTTTTGCACCTGAGCTTCGCTACACAGTCCTGTGCTGAATGGGCACTGTGTCATCAGGTCCTGTACAGGCACTGCTGGCCTTGCAACCACTGAGAGAAGTAGTTGACAGTAAATATTTATTTATTTAATATGTTTCTGTATCACATTTCCATATTGCTCAAAGTGGTTTCCAATCAAATAATCCCAATTCCAAATAATTCCAAAATCAAATAATCTAAAACTAATCAGAATGTAGATATGAATTAAATAACATTAAAACATCTCCTGACAAACCAGATCAGGTAAATGGCCACCAAAACAGCGCTGCCTTGCAATGCCATCTGAGCTCTACAAGGGAAGAGACAGGCAGCCCTTACGATTTCAGGACCTTGTCAAAACCTTTTGTTATGACTTCCAAGCTTCACATGCATCTAAATTCAATTCATTCTGCAGTATATTTGTACCATGTATTCTAATGTAATCTTGAGTATTGATTGACTGAATGCTCGTGAAGCCTTTTGCCAGAGACTGACTAACAAAACTTGCCGCCGGAGCGGAAAGGTACATACCACTGATAACTTGACCAAATAACTCTTCTGGTGTGTCACCAAAGAAAGGAACGCAGCCAACTAGAAACTCATATAGGATAACTCCCATGGCCCACCAGTCCACAGGCTTTCCATAACCCTGCCGCAAGATCACTTCTGGGGCAATGTATTCTGGAGTACCACACACCTGAATAGGAAAAAAATGTGTCACTCAGAAGCTGTTTATTTAAAAGCATTGTATTTTTTCATAGCTCATGCCAATCTTCACTAATACGTATTTATCTCATGGTAACTTTTTGTATGAACAGTTTACTCAGGAGTTGTATGAACTGCCCTTGTTTTCCAGAGAAAGCTTCAAAGAGATACAAATAAGATTCTGAACTTTTATAACTGAAGTTGTTTTTCCCCACAAAGAGAATATTTTGGTGAAAACATATGGTCAAAAATAATTTGAGCTTACCTGCTTATCCAAGAATTCTCTGGTATCTTTCTCTATATGCCCCTCATACAGGTTTGTTGTTAAGCTCATTAAGCCAATTTTAGAAAGGCCAAAGTCAGTTAGCTTGATGTGACCCATTGATGTTATGAGAAGACTGGGGGAAAAGGGAAACATCAATACTTAATAATTTCTATTTATTTATGAGAAGTATTGTAACAAAGGAAGATATAGCATTATACTACTTAATTACCCATCAAAACATTTGTTAACATTCTGTTACTTATAGCTGTCAGACTTGGGCATTTGTCTAACTGTACCTGTTGTATTTCTACCCAGTACATTTATAGATCTTGTTTCCTTCTGTTCCCTGCACCCAACCATTTGTTATTCCTACACCCTTATCGCTTGCCCTTGCCTGCCATTGCATTCCTGGGGGGGGGGGCTGGTAGAATTTTAGGGAGGCTGACTTCAGTAATTCTTCCATGGTGCCTCAAAGACATCTTTCACATGGGAAGTATCCTTGAGGTAAAGTCTGTGCTTCACTAGTTGTTGACCATATATCTCTCATGGTCATTATAATATTGCTGACATGTATGAATGGAATTTGGGGTTGTGATTATAAGTTGCTTTCCTGCCTTGGTTCCTCAGTCCTCCTGACAAAGAGTCTGAACCCATAAGCATCTCAAATCTCTAAACAAACCTTTCTCTAAAGAAAGTGTGTGTGGAGAGTGACTTGACTGGGAGCCTGACAATAGCTCTCACTGCCATACAATGTCTTATAGGAAACAAGGTTAAAAGTTGATTAAGTGTTTAGTGTATACATTTTTATTTACTACTGAATTGTCATGTGTCTGGCTCAATGCACATGTTCGGGACCGAGCCAACCTGGAACAGATTATTTATTTATTTAAAACAGTTATATTCCCTTATTATTTCCTTGGACGGAAGATGGCTAACAGTGAAATTACAAGTTGCAAGGACGTGTAACATAGAAGCCCATTAACAAATAAATACACACACAGTTAAATCTACTAAGACTGCCAGTACTATCCTAAAACAGAGCTGTCTAGCACACCTTCATAAATGTAGGCAGTGAAGCCACACTCTGTACCCATGCTGCTACGTCATTCCAGAGAACTGAAGCAACCACCAAAAAAGCCAGTTGCACAGACAGTCCTAAGAGAAGATACCACAAGGAGAAGGCTGTCTAAGGGGTATAACTGGTACATGGGAGTATACCAGGAGATGCAGTTCAGCAAGTATGAAGGCCCTAGGCCATTAAGGTAATAACCAGCACTTTGAAATGGGACCAGAAACACATAGGTAACCAGTGCCACTGACATAGCCCTGGAGTGATACATTCTGAGCAACAGACCCCTGATAGGAATCTTGCAGCTGTGTTGTTTTTTTACCATGTGTGAATATACATCAAAGATTAGTGGCAGAGGCCACTGTATGTGTCCAGACCACTGTACAATCAGAAGCCTTTCTAAAGAGGAATAGCTTTACCTGCCTACCTAAAACCCATCAGAATTTATCCAAGGAAAACTTCCTTGGGCAAGGAATTCTATAGAACCAGGGAATCTTTCTTTCCAAAAGAAGATACTCCCTTAAATGATGCTCCCCTCCTTAGCACACACACGGGGCTTTCAGGAGTAGAAGCACTGTTCGAGATAGGATGTACTCAGGCTACCCAGGACCATAAATCTTAACAGCAGCACAGTGAATTGTGCCAGAACCTCTCAACATCTAACACATCTCACAGGACTGGTGTTCTATCATCCCATCTATTTGATCATATCAAAACACAGGCAGCTGCATCCTACACACAGTAGCACATCCTGCTACAAAATATTCTTCAAGAACAGATCCATGTAAAGTACATTTCAATAGTCACTTGGGGAAGTTACAAAAGCATCATTTTTTCCCCAAATAAGGATGGGACATCAAATCAAATAAAGTTGGTAAAAGATATTGCTGAAGTTAGCCAAAACTTGACCCTCCAACTACTATGATCACACCAAAACTGCAGACATGATCCCTCAGTGAAGAGACATAAATGCTCACTCTCCAGGGAACTGGCAATTCACATGACTTTACATTTATCTGGGTTTGGCTTAAGTTAGTGATACATTATTTATTTATTTAATTTATATCCTGCCCTCACCGCGAAGGCAGGCTATCCCACTAAAGCTATCAGACACTGTTTTAGAGAAGAGATGGCTGTTTCAGCATCAAACCAGCAAATCCTTACAGATCATCTAGGGCAAGAATTGAGATGCTTGGAAACATCTCCAAGAATTCTATGACTATCAGAGGAACAAAAATATGGTCACAAAGCAATCATGATAAAGGGCAGTACATAATGCTTCCACCACTGTAGCCTTTCCACAAATTTTAAGGTCTTATGTACCGTACTTTACAAAAAAAGTATTATTAGGTCTGCTGTAAAACTATATTATGTATTCTGTGTTTTAGTGGTTATTAAGGTTTGATCACATCTTGCTATACAAGGATATCTGAAACACAACTCTCATTAAATTCAGAGCATCATTGATAAATGAATATATTTCAGACTAACTTTTATTGAAACAACAGCATAGTGCTACAAAGCAGCAGGACAATAATGAGAAAGGGCACAGAAATAAATGTTGTTCTTGCAGAAGAAAAAAAAAGGACACATGTCATTCTTGTAACTATTTTTAGCATGGACAGCTGCAACTACAGGCCCAAACATGAGGAGCTAAAAACGTACTTGTCAGGCTTTAGGTCACGGTGGACGATGCCATAATTGTGGAGGTATTCCAATGCCAGCACAGTTTCTGCAAAATACATCCTTGCCATATCAACAGGCAAAGCTCCAATATTCTTTAAGAGAGTTGCACAATCTCCTCCTAGACACCAATGAAAAGGGAGCACAGAGAAGAAGTTATCAAGCAGCGGCAACAGCTAACAAATACAATTCATTAGGTTACTACATTTTAGTAACATCTTCCCTTTATGTCAGCTATCCTTTGGCCCAATATGCTGCCTCTGAGATAATGGAGACATGCACTGCTAAGGGGCAATTAATATAAGTACCCAAAAGCCAGAAGAGGGAGGAGAGAACTGATAAAGCATTGCTATGAGGTGGTAGTCTTGCTGGTGTTGACATTTAGCTCTGTAAAATGTCAAAGGACTAGGCTGAGCATTCCTTGCTGCAATATTATCACAAAAGATTCTAAGCTTCTAAAGCAATACTTTAACACACACACACACACACACAATGTTTCAGGCAAGTGGGAATCACTATATATTGCTTGCCGTTAATGATGCCCCACTAATAAGTACCTGTGAAACTATATAGCTGCAGTACTTCCAGTTACAATGACTGCCCTTGCTGGGGAAAGGGAGAATTGCCTCCCAGTGCTTCAAAAATGTCCAGGATTTAATGGTTCTCCAGAGGAAAAAAGTTCTAGAGCTATGTGATTAAATCTGCTGTAGGTATCCTATATTCATCCAACATACATAGAGTAATCACAAGTAAAGGCTTTTGATCATCATGTTGATTGAGGGGACGGAGAGAACAAGACCATCTTCAAATAAGCTGGACACAATTAGCTGTGCACTGAGAGCTTTGTAAGTCAATATCTGGAAGACAAATGAAACCAGTGCCCTATGCAACCCACCCTGTCATGAGTTGGGAAGTCATGCTCTGCACTACCTAAATCCTCACGTTGACTGCAGTATAAAAAAGTATGAATCAGTTGTCATTAACATTTTTATAAAAAGGGTTTCACACAAAACCCAGAAAGAATCCCAAATAAAGGAGGTGGGGAAGCTGATCCTTGACAAAGGATTAATCCCACCATCTGTCAGGTCACAAGATCCACCAACAATCATTACACTTCAGTCTTGTCTGGATACTGCCAATTCCATAAGATGTCCTTGGAATCCATTGTTTATTCCCCTTTTGAAATATAACTGCATGCTTCAGACAGAACATGAAATTTGTGGTTAATTTGTGATCCTAGAATTTGGCTTCTGGATGACCATCCAAATAGTTTGCTTGTTGGTTTTATTGCCTTTGCTCTGTACCTCAGGAGAGCACTGCCAGAGAACAAGCCAAGATTAAGCCAAGGTGTCTTGATTCTTTCTTCACACAAAGACTGAGGTTAAATAAAGCAGTTTCATCAACCCATGCCCTCAGATCTTAATTTGACAGATACTAGCTAACCATAAGTAGTAAAGTGGCCCTACATTCAGACAATCATACTAACCATAATTAGTTCAATTAAAACATGGTTGTGCATAATTTCTGAACTGAGACAAATCAGTGCAGTTGAATATTATTTATTCTTCTGTGGACATTTTCCACCTGTTTCTTCAGATATATCTCTAATCCAGTACTCACAATTTCAAGAAAAAGCATGGCTAATTATTCCACAATGAACAGGGCCACCTCAAGCAAACCACCTACCAAAGGTAAAACCCTTGGGGGCACAACATAGGCCTGTTGTTATATCTTAGAGAATGACCATTGGCATTTACCGTGAAGGTCCTTTTCCTCTGAGGTCAGGAGGACATCTCCATGGGTTATTCCCACTGTGCCTTTAGGGAGGCAGGAAATACTTTTTTCCACTTCCTGTTCGCGCCTTCGGAATAGCCCATCCCCTTAGTTCTGGGACTCCGAAAGAAGTGAGAATGAGGTAAGAAACTAATGGCCTTGCACTGTAGAAATACAACAGTTACCTAGAACCTGCTCATGAACTGCAACCTGAAAACAAACAGATTCAGTAAGCCAGGACAGGGAAGAAGAGAACAGCACAGAAGGAACTGAGATGATGAAAGCAGGAGGGCCGAGATGTCCTCCTGACCTCAGAGGAGAAGGACGCATCACAGTAAGTTCCAATGGTCATTCTCTTTCTGAGGTGGAGGACATCTCTATGGGACCTCCCAAAGCAGTGTCCCTCATTTGGGTGGGTCTTCATCATCTGCTGATGTCACGATGAGCTGCAGGAGTCTTCTTCCAAATGCTGCATTTGCTGAGGCCACTGTGTTCAGGTAGTAGTGGTGTACAAAAGTCGATATGGAGCTCCTCCACAAATGCTCAGTTGATGAATGCTGCATTGGTAGATGCGCTTCGCAGAGAATGAGCCATAATGCCCTTGGGAGCTTCCAGCCAAGTAGTTTTGTAAGCTTCCACAATACAGGAATTTAGCACCATGCTGATAGACATCTTTTCTCCTTTGCGTGGAGGGCAGATGATTACAAACAAAGAATCTGTCTTCCTGAGAGTCTCTGTCTGTGCAATGTAAATCCTGAGTGCCCTTCTGACATCAAGGGTATGCCACACAAGCTCCTTAGGATGCTTCGGCTGAGGACAGAAGGTGGCAGATATATCTCCTGTGACTGGTGGAATTCAGATGAAACCTTGGTAGGATCTGTATGCAGGACGACCTTGTCCCTGTGAAAAAACAGGTTGCTTACCAGTAACTGGTGATCTTCGAGTGGTCATCTGTGCTTTCACACCAATGGGATCTAGTGCGCCTGCGCTGGATCTGCCGGCGCCTAGTAAGCTCTCTTAAAAGGATTTTCATGCCTGGCCCAACTGAGCATGCTCAGGAGCCCCAGTGAGCATGCCCAGAAGGGCAGGCACGAACATCCCGCCAGTTCCTACCAACCGCCGCGCATCAATCTCCTAACAAAACAAGTAGAAGAAGACAGCAGCGGGGCAGGAGGGCGGGTGGTGTGAATGCACAGATGACCACTCGAAGATCACCAGTTACTGGTAAGCAACCTGTTTATCTTCTTCGTGGTCTCTGTGCTTCACACCAATGGGAGATTAGCGAGAAGTAGCCTACCTGGAGGTGGGTGCTGTCAGGTGTTTACTGCTTAGCCGAGGCCAAAACCTGACGTCCCAGACTGTCACTGGTGGACTGGCGGACGTCTAGGGCATAGTGCCTGATGAATGTAGTCGGCGTGGCCCAGGTTGCGGCTCTGCAAATGTCTTGCAGCTGTACTCCCTTCAGGAACGCAGTGGATGTAGCGACAGTCCTGGTGGAATGAGCCCGTACCGGGCCTGGCAACGGCTGTTTCGCCAGTAGGTAACACAGTTCTATCAGACCTACGATCCACTTGGATAGACGTTGGGCAGTGATTGGGGTGCCCACACGGGGTGTGACGTATGAGACAAACAGCTTAGGGGTTTGCCTGGTGGAGCGAGTCCTACTAAGGTAGAAGAGGAGGGCCCGCTTCACGTCTAAAGTGTGCATAAGTCTGTTCTCCTGTGATTTTGGGTCAGGGTAAAAATCAGGGAGGAAGACTTCAGACTGCAGATGGAATTCAGAGACCACCTTGGGCAAAAATGAAATGTCCGGCACCAGGTGGACGCCATCTGGGAGGAAGGACAAGTATGGTGAGTCATGACGG